AAATCAATTCTTTTTGATTGAGTTTGTCGAGAGGATCTTTCCCTGTTTTGATGATGCAGTTTAGTTTCTTAGGGATGGTAAATATAGTGTAGAAACCTCTATCGTTTAAAATATTTTTAATATTGTTACTTATGTTCTGTATGTAAGGAACTGTGACTACGTGCTTGTTGTGTAGGAACTGATTCTTTTCCTTATTGGAACTAGGTATAACGTCGCAGTATTTTATCTCTTTGAGTCTTTTTTTGATGAATTTGTCTATAATGTGCGCTGGGAAGCAGTTGTTCTTTAGGATGTCTTTAACTGTGTCAATATTGGAATCATGAAACCGCTCGTCTGACAATAAAATGGCTCGGTCGACTAGATTCGTTATAATATTAGTTTTATATTTAATTGGATGGTTGGAGTAAAAATTGATATAGCGGCCGGAAAACGTAGGTTTACGGAACCAGTTTGTTAAAAGGTTTTCGTTATTTCTAATGATAGTCGTGTCGAGAAAGTTGATAGACATGTTTTTTTCCGTTTCACAGGTGAATCTTAGTCTAGGATGGTATCTGTTGAAGGTTTCTAAAGTTGTGTTAATTTTGCATGTTGGGACAATACCGAAAATATCGTCCACGTATCTGAAAAAGGCAGGTAGTTCCGAATCGATTGATTTTAGGCAGTGAGTCTCTAAGTCGTCTAATACCATGTCCGCTAATATGGGTGACAATGGGGAGCCCATAGGAGTTCCAAAAATCTGTTCGTAAAACTGAGACTCAAAGACGAAACTGGTGGAGCTGAGAATTAGGTCTATGGCGTATAAAAATTGTTGTAAGTTAAATTTTGTGTTTGTCTCGATACTGTCCCATCTACTTTCTATGGATTTTAATGCCAATTCTTTCGGGATGTTGGTGAATAGCGAAGTGGCGTCAAATGACACGAGTGATTGGTCGGGGGTGATCTTAATATTTTTTATTTTACGTACGAAGGTCCAGCTGTCTTTGATATATGACTTTGGTTTTGGAACAGACTTCTGTAGTATTTCGCATAAGTATTTTGCTACATTATAAGTCGGGCTGCCGATTGTGGAAACAATGATACGGAGT